CGCCGCGTGCCCCCGCCCCGTGACATCTCTTTCCCCTCCTGCGAACTTCAGCTGGAAACTCCTGCTCGCAATCAACTCCGGACGCTGCCTTCTGTCTCGCCGACCAGCTCTTCTTTTACCACCGGGAGCCGGCTGCTTTAGATCTGCAGGATTCCACGTGGCTGGGTCCAACCTGAGCCGGAGTCTCCCGTGGAGAAAGGCAGTCACAGGGGGATGCTCCACTCGGCTGCTCCTTCTTCCTTCTCATCATCCTCACAGGACTCCCTCAACACGTATGTGTCTTCTCGCCCCCCTGTCTCTCGCACACGCGGCCACGGCTGTCTCTTATTTATGCGTTCATATTTAGCAGTGGCTTGTAATTGGCTACAAATTAATCCCTTGCCCATAATAGTCAGTAATCTCCATCACTGGAGGAGAGACACTGAAAGTGTGTGTGCCTGAGAAAGGGGAGGGGGGAAGGAGGGGGAGAGTGAAGGATGGTCGTGTGGCTGTGATATACTTAGCTGTCAGCTCTGTTTCAACACACCTCCACTCATCTGGAAAGCATCTAAATAGCCTTATTTGGAGAAATGGGCGGAGAATGCTTTCTTTTGAAATAATTGCGGGATCAATATAAAGAAGATATTATACACACACACCGAATGGGGCCCTAAGACCTTCCATCCCAATGGTTTAGTTGTGTGATCACCAGGGTATTATTTGGGCGCTCAGGGTGAACAATCTCATTTGTGTCACCCCCTTGCCTTATTAAATTAGAACAATAGCATAAAATGTTGTTCGAGGCGGATACTTTGAATGATGCTTCGTGCATAGACATATCTATATACACGTTGTCCTCCCCCCAACTAATTAATTAAAATTACATATCAGATGAAACTGCCTAAAATATTGAGAGCAAAATCATAGGCTTAAACACCACAAGGCAAAACACGACGATCAATACATTTTAAATAACTTGGGGGGGGGGGATCTATTCTCGTCCCACCTAGAAATAATGCAATCAGCATAGCTCACTCTCACTTCTGAGAAACACCCCTTCATGAAAGATGGTTTTAAGGCAGGAAAAAGGGAAAAATTAGGAAAAGAGCGGCCTTTGATTTACAAAAATCTAATTTCCTTTCCTACCCTTCCCCGTTTGCGCTCTCTGTGGACGCGCGCTGTGATCATATCAATTTCATTCTTGTTTTGGATGTCCAAATCGCTGCCTCGTTTGAATTAGCTGCCCCAAAAGGTAGGAAAATAGAGAAAACATAAAAAGAAAATTAGATTTTTTCCCCTCCTGTCTTGAGGCTGGTGACACATATAAGGACAGGTCCTTTGCAATTACCGCGGGCAATGATCCTTTGGAAAGCAGAAATTAAAAGTTGGGAGAAATAATGGGTAAAACAATCAGCTGTAATTTTGGTAGGGGTTGGACATGATTAGCCCATCAATGGGCTGGCCCAGGGGAGTTCCCTGAACGCTGGAGCCCACAGCAGCTCGCTCTCATATATTATAGACCAGCCCTTTGATTTCAATCAGACACCACAACAGTGTCCTTCCTCTTTTATTACTTTATTATGCTTTATCTTTAAATTATAAATCACCTCCCGGGTGGAAAGGGAATGTTTAATCTCTGATCACGTGTAGGCAATTACCTTTCCCCCCACCTCACCGCCACACACACACACAGAGCCAGAGCCGAGTTACTTTGAATATATATTTGGTTGGCTTTTAAAACCTTCTCTGACTTCCCTTCCCCCGCGGTTGTGTCTGGGAGCTCGTCTTTCGCTCTAGAACAATTTCGCGTTCAAGGCCTCTGCCCACAGCTCTGGGATATTGTTTATGGAAAGGCGCTGGTGTTTTAGGCAGGCGCCAAAGGGTTGTTTGATCAGATTGCTTACTCTCCTCGTCTCCATTTGTACCTATGGGGGAGGGCAAGGTGGTTTTTCTTGGGGGAGTGGAGCATTCTTATCTCTTGAGTATAGTGGCGTCCTAAATTTTTGCTTGAGCCCCTACAAATATCTGGTCAAAATTGCCATTAAAACTCTGCACACCACTGTCCTAGTAGGGCCTATACAGCACAGGGACCAGCACTGGCGTAAGCCACAACAGCGGTTACATGATTATTAATTCAATAACACACAAAGGTTGCACAGTAAACGCTTGGAGGCAGGAAAGCCAGCGGATTTGAGACCCAGCTGTCGCGTAGCATAAATAGTCATTTCTTCAGTGCGCTGCTAAGACCCTCTTTCCATGCACGACGAGGCCGTGCACTTATTTCGTGATCTACCCGATCAAAGCTGGGGCAGAGATTCGCTAGGTACGGGAGTACAGCCGGTACAAGTTGCAAGGAGAGTGGGACACAGAACGGGGACGCGGCGGGGAACGCGAGTCCACTCCGAATTCCCCCTTCAGCCCACGAGGGATAAAACGAAGTGTGGGAAAGCGCACGCGCCCCGGGGTTTTAAAGCGAGTGTTATAAAGCTGTTCTATTGCTCCTAATCACAATTGATTGTCAATTAGAGCCTCATTTGTGCAATCTCCATCCATCTGCCATCTCTGGTTATCCGCGCACCAGAAAGTTGGCGCTGAGTATGGGGCCCTAGATGCGTTGTGACAGGTAATATCTCGCTCCCGCGCGGGGCGGGTGGCCACTTCGCTCTTGCTCGGAGAGGGCCCCTTTCGTGCTCCTTTGAAAAAGAGCCCGCCCGTGGGGGGGATGCCTGGCGTGGCGGGGAAGGGGGAGGGTTAGATTAACGCCAATGAAATGCCAGCTCATCCAACCTCTGCCCCTCCATGCCCAGGCCCGGGGCTGGGATGGAAATGGTCCTTTCTCTAACCCACCGCACCGAGCCCGGCGGTGCTAGACCTCCCCGGGGGGTTATCGCGGTAGTTAGCCCAAATTGGATCTGCAGGGCGGGGGGATTTCTGAGGCCGCAAGGGGCTTGTGGTCAGTCAGCCCAGAACTGGGCAGCATTGGCCTGCCACGGCAGCTTAGGTGCCCTGCGGCGCGCAGGGGACCCCTCGCCTTTGACAGGACCATCGCTCCAATCGCAGCCTGCATGGGAGATAGCTGCTGGGGCGTGTTGGCACGGCCGGGCCGGTGTCCCCGGAGGTAAGCGTGGAGCCGGTTCGAACCGGGTTTACACGCCAGCTCCGGGGGAGCAGAGTACAGCTGGAGGCCGAACCGGACTCTGGCTGCAGTGTTAGGCACCGGGATGCTCTCTTCATCCCGTCCCTACGAACCTGCAGCTGCTTGAGGGTCTGTGGTGCCAGCAGCTGGCTAGGGGGACCCCTCCCTCTGCGGGGCGTCTCCCCCGCCACCCTCGGGCAAGTCCCAGGGGCCAGGCCAGCTGGCGGCAGAGGGAAGGTGGCTGAGGGGAGAGGTTATGTGGGAAGGGGGCTGCAAGTCTCAGCCGAGAGATCGCCTCCCAGCCACCGAGAGAGGCTGAGCAGGGGCTGTCCTGCGCCGTTCTCAGTAGCAGCCTGAAGGGAGGGAGACGTCCCCAGGCGCCTCTTATCTCCCATCCGCAGAGGCCTCCGCTTCCCAGAACGTTTGCAAATGGCTTTGGGGGCTGGAGGGACCCCAGCTGACTGCCCGCGTGGCCTCTGCCCACGCCGCCTCCAGTGGCGAGTTGTTAACTGCACGCATCCTGCGACACCTCACGAGATCCACCTGCTCCTTCCTCCTGCCCCCTGCGCTCTCTCGGGCCAGGCCTGGTCCTCATTGCCTTTCCAGTGGGGAGATGATCCCTAGACACTAGTCAGCGGGGGGGGCTGCATCAGAGGCCGGCCCTGGGGCTGCACGGCCCCGCTTCTGGTGATTTGTAAGCCCGGAGCATTTGCATGTAGTTAACTATAAACCTGAACACCCCGTGTGCCTCTTCTGCCTGGACGTGCTTTGCAGCCACATAGAAGGGGCCGGAGTCCCTGCTCCAGTCGGCCCTGCGTTTTTAAGCAACGCGTTCCATTTTTAATTCGGTTTCTGTTCTATCGCTCGGATCAAAACCCGACGCTTTTCTTTTTTGGGCCGTTCTTCATCCCCTCCCAGCAGCGCGGATCTGAGGGGCACGAAGGGCTTTTTTTCGTGGTGGTACATCAGTTTAGTAGCCCCCTGTTATCGCGAGAGGGTCACTTAGAGGGATTTCCACGGGGGAAAGAATAAAAGGGGTGGGGAGGCTGTTTCGGGGTGGAACAGGTGCAAGAGAAACCCGCCTCGCTTCCCCCGCGCTCTTGATCGGTTTGCATCGATCGCAAATGTGCCCTGGGGGCAATGGAAGGTCACGGAGGGTAAAGCATGGAAGCGCACGGTCCTTGCGTGCATGGAAGCGCACGGTCCCTGCGACAGAGAACATCAAGGTGCAGTGAAATCACATCTGTAAAATATCGATCCGCAGGGTGGGACGCAGCCCCGTTACCCCTTCCCCGCCACCAAATTAACACACGCCGCAGACTTTTCAACCCTCCAAGTGTTACGTGAAGCCTGACACCGACGCCTGTAATCGAAAGGAGGCCGAAGTGACTCCAGGGACTCCGGAGCGAGTGTTGTCCCGGCCTTTTCAATACCTGCGCGATTAGGTCAGTCCCAGACCAAGAAACGCGTTTCTAGGAACAGAGATCTAATCTGGCTAATAGTCATTCTAATACAACCCACGCAGGGAGCCCAACAGCGCCTGGCAGAAAAGGGCTCTAAAACCGTCTCCTAATGGCCCCCTTGCTGTAAACTAGAGCCGGGGCAGCGAAACACCCACCAGAATTAACATGGCAGGAAGGTGAAGGGGGTAGAACAGCTGGGATAAGGGGGCGGGCTAGGGAAATAGGCAAGGCCTGTCTCTCCTGGACAAGCTGGAGGTCAGGGAAGGGAAAGAAATGTGTGGGGGAGAGGTGGGGTGGATTGTCAGTGTCTAATGGCCCCTCTGGGGCACGTTGCGAGACTCAATAGATCCTTTAACCACGGCCATGTTCTCTTCGATTTCAAACATGCCTGGGTCCCCCAAATCGT